AATAGCGCCGGCCGCCATGGCTACTTTCAATCATGAGAAGATTTTTCTCGTCCTATTATAACAATCATTGAGGAAAAAAATTAAGTTAATATATTTCGACCCAGTATCAAACAATATTCTTCATCCTGAGAATATCGAACTACGTAATGAAAAATGAATTCGATACATACCATGTTGTAAAGACTTTTAAGTGAAATACGCACACAGTATTTCTATCACAACCTCGAACAGAAACAATAAATCCTTTTTCTTTTAATAATGAAGCATAGAAAGTCGTTAATGCACTATATTTCACTTGTCCTGTGAAGTCTGTTCTCTCGAATGCTATCCGATGCATTTATACCTGCTTATGATATAACGAACTTCGCGGGCTGTGAGGGAAGGAAAGGGAAGGGGGAGGGGTGTGGCCGAGAAGACAAGGGAAGATATTGGCGGCGTGAGGGTATTGGTGAGAAAATACTAATGGAAGGGGCAACGTACTTGCGATTTGCTCGTTAAAGGGCCTATGAGTGTTCAAAACTTTCTGAGACTTTCTGGGAATTTGTCTACACACGTAGTACGAGATATTACCGCGGTTTCAAAATTTAAGCTAAAATTTTTCTGGTTATGTTCAACATATTTATCATAAAGACAATTGATGGTTTTTTTTAGTTTTATGTTTTTGAGTAGAAGACTGAAGAAATATGTGATATTTTTCCAGTGGTTTTCTTTGATTGCCCACATTTATCTCTCCCTAGTTGCATCTTCTTTTTCGAATACAGATCTCATTAGACCCTATCTTTCACCGCCAAAAAAGTTGATTTCATACTTCCATTTTTTTTATTTTTAATTGTTTAGAAAATTGTTTTTTTTTCAGCAACTCCGATAAATCGTCCGAATCGATTAAATGGTGGCTTAAAAAAATTGTCCTAATATCTTTTTGCCCCAGTCCGAAGATCAAGGTGACAGTTTTTTGGCAATAATCATAAATTCAAAAAATTATTTACGATTTTTTTCGTTATTGTGGAGATCTTGGTGGTAGAAATCAATCAATTTCAATGATGAACATTAAAAAATAAAATTTATTCAAGTAATATCACTACACTACAAACAGGATCTTTATGCTCAGCATATAAATAACAAAAATAAAATGTTGTTAAGATACGTTGGTGTTTCACGGGTTTCTTTTCACTCTATAATTTTAACGCAATAGTTATGATAGTTAATATAGAATAATTAAAATGAATATAACAAAAATCAAGCTCGACATATAAACTGACTCAAGTAGTAAATTGACACGATTAGTTTTATGAGTTTGAGATTGCTTAATAGCAAACGTGTATCCGTCGAATTCCCAAAGCGATTATTCATCATCTGAAGCATGTCCTAACGGCTCTGGAGACTCCGGCCGTGGTCCACCAGTGTATTGCTTCTTTGAGCCACTCATTGAAGCCAATGCACTGATGTCTGCTATTTCTGAAAAAAGATATTAAAAATTATCAATGATATTTGATATTTTTTCGGAAACAAATTCACTCTGAGATGAACAAAAGTTACTCACTTGCAGCATGCTTCCTCTTGAAAAACCCAGAATTTACAGCTTGCGCTTCACCATTATTAGTGTCTGATGTTAGAAGCGGGGTTGCTGATGTGCGATTTTCAGGGCCTCCCAGCAGTCCATGCAATTTTGACAGCAATGGCGGCATAAAGCATGTGGCGAAGAAACTCGCCAAACTAATTCTGAAATCAATCATTGAGTATTTTTTTAAATGTGAAAAAAGCCTCTTCATTCGATGATATTTTACCTATGTTATAGATTGATAGTGGCGGTAATGAAAAGTGGAGCATTTTCATATTACCGCAAAAAATGAATTTTTATTCTAATATTACCTTTTTCTGGTGCACTGCTGATTGACCGTCATGAAATGGGTGACATCTCGGGGCAGAACGAAGGAATTTGTTTTGTCCTTTATAAGGCGTTTTTCGCCACTCTGAAATGACTTCATCAGGTCATTTTCGCTTTTCAACGTTTCATAGAGGACACCTACGAAACGGATAACGAAATGAATAATTAATATATTGGTGACTAATTGATTAATGATCTTTCAGTCATATTATAGTTTGGTGAATACTTACGTGTTAATTTTTCGACACTCTTCTTGTTGTACCCGAATTGAACAGAAAGATATCTTCCAACGGCCTCCGTTCTGCGATGAACCTGGAGAGCCTCCAAGGGAGCTCCTAAGAGCTTTAAATTGTTGTCCCAGCGAGTCTTGAAAAGATAGAAAAAGCTTCCTAGCTGAGAAAAATCCGTTCTGTGTGCCCGGATTTCTTCATCAACGAACTCCATGCTTTGATGCGATCTTCCCCGGAAAGCACCAAGATCATCAAATGATGGTAAATTTTCTTAGGGGAATCTCCCAAGCCACACTCTTGCCATAAAGCCCCAATATCCTATAAAACATTTGTAACAATCATTTAATAATAGTATTAACATTTTTGAATAGTTTATGGAATATGTTCACTTACTTTGACATAATCGGACCATAAAATTTGGATAGCTGCATCAGGAAGTATAATCGCAACAGCATCTGTGAGTGGCTGACAGGTACCTACGAAAACGGTTTCTACTGACTTCAGGGATGGTTCCTTTTGAGCGACGAATTTCAGGATTTCCTCAAACAGTGATTGAGAAGATCCACTCAGGTACACGACGAACAAAGTATACGTCTGAAAAATTACATACAAACGGTGTCATCGGTTTTGGCAGATTATACAAGAATAACAAAAATATAATTTATATATTTACCGTGATCAAAAGTCCCTTTGACTGCACTAAATTGATGGTCAAAATTTCTGTCCCTTCGCGATGAGGCAAAACCTGTACAAATAATTTATGATTACAGAGGTAAGGCAATGTAATTATTGTAATAATATGTTATCCAAGACATGATTTTCAAGTG